TCATAAAACAGAAATCAGGACCTTTACACAAGTGGCTGAGGGGATTTAGAACAAACTGCCCAGCTATGCTATTGAAATGGTTTCCCTGGGTCTTTCAAGACCTTGGAACAGTAATCAACTAACAGCCCACCTTGCTGATTTGCTTGAGTGACTTCCTTTCACACGTAGCTTTGATTATTGTTAAGTTTTTCGCCATCAAGTAAGTCAGATAACAAAGTGTACAGTTTCTGAGCGTTTCCTTAAAAAAAGTATCGCTGATTCTTCTGTTTTCTTTCTAGCCTACAGATTATTTCATAGTATGTTAGTTTAGCACTCTAGCAATTCTGTGGGGTCGTTATTATCATTCTTAATTTCTGTCCAATGTACTAATTGTTTTGTATATTAACCATGTTTCAATCCAACTACACATAACCCCAGACGCTTAAACTTTAGAAATAGTCTTCATTAACTGTATGTGAGACAATTGAAAAACAGGAAGAAATATAGATGGATGCAATGAGAAGGCTCTCATCAATAACACTCATCTTGGTGCAACAAACTGTACAGTCAAGAATTGTAAGTTTCAGAGGTGAACAATATCAAGTCATTTGTGCATTTTGTAAATTTAGAAGAGACAATTACACTTTACTACATACCTTTTACTTTATTATTGCCAATTATGTCTTTACATCTCAGCTCACAGAATGGACGCCTGTGGCCACACTGGGACAATGAGGAAGTGCAGACAAGCTCCTCCTACCTGTTCATCCATTGAGTCTTTCACCTTTTGAGGTGCAAGCTCTGCAGTGACATGCAAGAGGTCCAGCACCAACTGGACAAGAGGCTAGACTCCTTCTCACAGCAACTCATTGAGCTAGGATCCAAGATCCCACCCAAGATCCTACACCCGACAGTGCCAAGCTAAATATGCGCTGCCACTTGGGAAAATCCCAGTTACGGACGGCTCATGACATGACCCAAGCTCAAACTTGAAACTAGATCACAAAGCTTGATCCGTGCTCTGAGCGAGCACCTTAACCAGCTGAGCCACTCTAGAGCCCATAGTGTGCACATGATCTGGTATTCTCTCATCTTTCTCTAGGATGTGCTTCTGTAGCGGAGCTCGTTTGGGCACGGAGACGTCATCGCCCTGCCTGCGCGTAGCAGGGACCTCAGCCGCCTGGGTTGAGGGTTGAGGGTTGAGGGAGGTCTCCTTTAGCTCACTCGGCTGGTACCCTGTTGCGTTACACCGCAGAGCCGGGTTCCTGCCCAGGTGTTGCGGGACGAACCGGTGGGGTGGAGTGGTGAGGGCATGAGCGATGGTCGCACTTCTTGCTCACCTTTCTTGAGGGATGACTGGCGCCGCCCATTGCCCAGTAGGGACTCGGGTACGTTTGTCTGTTTCGGCACATCCTTCCCCTGGGTTATCTTCTTCCTCTTATGGCCACGTCTCTTCAGGTGATGGGCTGTGAGGGCCAGGGCTACACTGCCCAGGGCTGTGGCAAACAGGACCTTCTTCAGGCTGGGGGAGAGGCGCAGCTGGGAGAAAATGGACTAAGAAAGACGCAATGCATAAGAGCCTCATGTCTGAACTGTACTTCACCACTAAATCATACACCACAGTATCACGGGAATCAATGTGAAGCTTTGCATTTTCGAAACACCTTATTTTATGGGGAACAGCTTAAGGAAATACACTTGGTTCTGTACCCTCAATAAAAAGTGCCTCTAAAAACCTTCCTCAAACTACACACTAGCACAGAGCGCAAACAAACGTGTGTATGCTGCCTATCTGAAAACACCTGTACTATAGCATGGTCTGCTATAGTAGCAATCCAATTATTCTCTATCATGAGAAACTATTATTTTGACCACACTTCCCATAAGCCTTACCAGACTTCCGATTTTTCTCTCACATTCCACAAATACAGGCTGAAACGTTTCCCCACTAGCCCTACTAATGAGAGGTGCACTCCCACTGAATAAAGATGAATCAATTGCTTTTTGTCTTCAATTAATAACTCATTGTAAAGATAGTCAGGCCAGAGACAGGTCCATGAGACATTTGCTCCAAAACCTCTCTTATTTTGAAAGCTCAGATATGCAGTGAAATAAAACATTTCACCTCACTGAACTGTATCTTATTACCATTGAGCTCATTACCATACACACAATACAAGTCAATCAGTTACCATGAAGTGCCCATCTTGTCTTGTCCAGTTTAATTTCTCAACTACAGCCTTGAAATTACTAAGCCTGCCCTGTCCCACCAAGAGCGCTCGAATAAGGTTTACCTGCCCGAAGGTAGAGTAAAGGAACATAGGGATCTCGGCCACAGTCATGGCCAAGGCCTGTATCACCGAGACGCCTTCTGTCCTCCTCATCGACATGTCCGCCTTCGAACGTCCACAGCAGATCAGCACCCAGGAGCTGCGTGCACTCAGCTGCCTTTACTGGGCATTTCCCAAACCCTATCCCGAGAGAAATCCGAAAACAAGGCCAGGAATCTGCTTAAGGGTCTTGCACTCTCACATAATCTCTTAACGGCTTGGCGAAGGGTTACAGATGGGAAAAACAGTTTTCATTTTTTTCAGCGTTCTATTCGTGTAATTTCGTATTTCTACTCCTTTTTTTCCTTTAATTATTTTTTTTATTCTGAACTTTCCTACAAGTCCATGTATAACTAACACTATCATATCAAGAATTTCTTTCCTTAGTAGATACATTTTTAATGGTACTTTGTGCATCATTAATCTTATAATAGAATCCAGGCACAAGGAGTAATTATCCAGTTTGTCCTGACAAAATAATTTCCAGAGAATGCTAATTACATAGGCGGAGAATTCCAAAACTTACAAAATCATATGTGAGTTAAGAAAAAACACCCATTAAAATTTAACAGCTGAAAGAAATGCAACCGGCGATTTAAAAAAAAAAAGACGTAGAAAGATTTCAAGTAGACTTGAAGAGAGACTTTAAATCCTTACACACACGTAAATAAGCAAACAAACAACAACACATGAGAATCAAGTGAAATGAAGTCAACTGTGCTGCATCTTTGTATTAAACATCTGCGGGTCAGAGACAGCAGAAAAAAACGAACCTCCTACCTAAAGATCAGTTTAAGTCATTGAATACCACCCTTGCATCCGACAAAGTATGAGCCAGATGTTCCACGAGAAAATGAACTCCTCTTCACTTTCGCAGCTGTGAAACGTGCATGTATTAGAAATACATGTCAAACCAATTCCTACACAGTAGCGCGAAGTATCAGTTTAAAATATCAATGCAGAAGTAAACACAGTTGTAAATAATAAAGCCACGTTTCGCTTTCGTATTGCAGATAGGTGTCGGAAGTCTTTTCCTGATTTTTGACGAGGAATTTCCTTAACCTGACAATTTCGGATTCAGTACTGTCCTTTCCTGGCTGAGACATTGGAATGTATTGTATTTCCTATATTGTGTACCTCTATTTTTACGGGTTCAAGTCATTTGTACTTATAAGAAAGTGATATACACAAACTGTAAAGACAGCCACACTCAAAAGTAACCTTACACTAGGAGAGAATAAATTCTATTCAAGCACTCACTCTGCTTCTACAGAAGGGCATTTTCTCCTTTGGGCTCACACTAGCATGATACTCTGTAGGCAGGATTTCATCTTAGTTTGACGTTTGTACGAGCAACTGGTTCATGAGACGCCAGCACAGAACCGTACTGGTAGCCAATGCGAAAGCAGAGGGGAGGAGCCTGTTCGATCACGTCAAACACCGGCATTCACTTCCTGGTTTACGGGCGAGAGGTAGTTCCATGCTGAATGTTTTTCATGTTTAACACTGGATTGTTGATCTTAAAGGTGTATGCATCACTGCTTGGGCCGAGTAACGTTATTCGATTGGCTCATCCACTAATACAGACAAGCAAAGTCTACTGGAGTTGCAAAAACAAACTTTAGCACCTAGAAAGAAGAGCACTCGTTTTAAAATCTGCATAAACTCTGACAAATTTAGGTGGATGCAACGACTTGCGCTTATAATTGTTGGTGGGTGGGGTAGTTTGTTGCAGCTAGGTACGATCCTCTATGGAAAGGGATTCCCATTTTCTTTTCCATTTCTTCAAGGTTAGATATCGAGATGAATGGTACGTGCCTGGGGTTCACCTCATCTTTTTATTAAACTACAGGAAAAGTTAGCCACAGTATGTCAAATTTTGAAAACACACTGAACAATATCTACATTTAAAATCGCGTTCCACATGATTTGTTGTTTTCCTGAAAGTTGAACTGTCAATTGCTGAAAGCCATAAATGATATAGACTCCAAGTCTTCCGCTGACAGTATTACAGTATATGATTGCAATGTGGGATGGATTAAGAGGAACGTTTGTCTGCTGTAAACTGCTGTCGGGGGATAGTCATTCGTGCAACACAATATGGTGATGTAACGGGAGTGGATGCTATGTTATACATCGAACATAACATTAAAATTTTAAATTAATCTTGCACTATTTAAAGATCATCTGTGTAATTAATATGCATGACCTAAAGAAAAAGTCCAAGACGACGCTAGACTTAATCACGGTACCTTGTGAGTTTATGTCATTTCAATGTTAAAGTAATTTACAAGTTTAGCGGTTGTTTCCGATACCTACATTTAATGTGCTGTATGTTGTGGACTAGTGCTAAATCCGATATATGCAGTTTTATATCGGACAGATTATTGCGCTGTAGGGAAATGACGTAAATCATATCGATTTTTCACGTTTCTTTTTAGGAATGAAGCTGTCGTTAAGCTGTACCATGATAATAAGGAGGCGTCGAATATAGACAGTCCCTTCTAAGAAATGAAAACTCTGGTTTGTGCAGTTTATTATTGATTCTTCATGGTGGATTGGGAGTAAGAGAAAAGCATTTTGAGAATAAATAAAGTGCACTGTATCTACCTGCCTGTTTATTGTATTATTTTGTCAGAGTGGAATCGAGATGTTTTTTTTTTCGATATGTAAAACACTTCCTTCAACTAAGTAGAGCCTTCATGACGTGATATTAAGCACAGCCATACACACGTGTATACTTTTCATTCTTTACAGAAACTGCTTTGGGTTGGAGTGGGGGTCACTACTGCTTTTGCCGTCCTGGTATGCTACAATCACGTGACGAAACATATTCAGGCTCCCGCTGTTTCTGACATTGGCCTGCATGGGTACGTTAGTATCTCCACAGGGCAGGTGGGTGAAGATTGCCTCAAGATGAGAGTTGAGACGAGCTGACTTTTACTGTCATGTCATTTTTTTTTTTTTGCATGATTTGATCCTGTGGTGTTGAAAGGCCTCTCTTAGAAAATATAATACACTTTCAAGTTTCTGAAAAGCAGTTGTCAATAACAAACATTGCTCCCAGGAAATTACATAAAAAATTGTGCTCTAGGTTATATTTGGTACTATTGATATTACATTTTAAGGGAGATCGTGCGGTCAGACCCTAGACTTGATTCCCATTAGTCTCACCGAACTGAGTTGCGGCACAATTATTGCATCAGCGCCAGGAGATACAAGCTTTTGGGGAACTGGACGAGTTATTTCACAGTTAACAATCATGAGATTGACTCTTCCACTTCACATAAAAAAGGAAGTGGTCCTTACAAAATCTGTCTTTGTCTCTTTGCAGTACCTTGACATCCACTGTAAACGATGTGCTCTGGTGTCGAGTTCTGGTCGGATGCAGAACTCGAGGCACGGGGGAGACATCGACCGGGCGGACTGTGTGATCCGTATGAACAACGCCCCCACCCTGGGCTACGAGGCAGACGTGGGACACAAGACCACCCTTCGCGTGGTGTCCCACACTAGCGTGCCACTGCTGCTCAAGAATGACACCTACTATTTCGGGCGGTCGGCGGACACTGTCTATGTGTTCTGGGGCCCCGAGGGGAACATGAGGATGGATGGGAAGGGCAGGATATTTAATGCCCTCTTCAGAGTTGCGAAGAAGTACCCCCAGGCCAAGGTGTACACAGTGACCAGGGAGAGGGTTCTTTACTGCGATAGCGTCTTTCAGAACGAAACAGGAAAAAACAGGTGCTGTTTCCCTCTTGCGCTTTGACCCTTAAGTAATTAAAAACATTCTGCAACTGTAAACGGCCTGCAAAAGTCACAGAAAAATCTCGGCACCTTAAAGGCATGCAGTTTAAGGTTAAGAATAAGAATTCCTAGAGAGAAAAAGCACGTAAAACAGCTAAGGTTTTTGACTAATTTAAAAGATCTTTTAGAAAAGGGGTGTATTGCGGTGTGGTGGCTCTGTGGCTAAGGATCTACGCCTGTGGCTGGAAGGTTGCCGGTTCGTATCCTGCGGCCGGCGGAGGAATCCTACTCCTTTGGGCCCCTGAGCAAGGCCCTTAACCCCAACTGCTCCAGGGGCGCCGTATAAATGGCTGACCCTGCGCTCTGACCCCAAGCTTCTCTCCTTGTCTGTGTGTCTCATGGAGAGCAAGTTGGGGTATGTGAAACACAAATTCCTTATACAAGAAATTGTATATGGCCAATAAAGTGATCTTATCTTATCTCTTATATTGTCATATTTGTGTTTAGTTACATTTAGTTTACAAATCATAGGAATTTGGAATTTGTTTCCACAACGTTGGTCATACCTAGTAACTAGTAATGGCTATTCACAGAAAATATGTTTTTATGGATTGTATTACAGAATTATTGTATTATTTTCAATCATAATTATCAGTATTCTTTGACAAGCTTCTTTAA